CACCCCCCCACACACACACACACACACACACACACACACACACACACCTACCATATATGCACTTTACACTATTTGACTCAGTGAATATCTCACTCAACTCAGTCATAAAAAGTTATCATCATTCTATGGCCCTACACAGCCTTCCAAATCGTTCCAAATCTTTTATCAAAAACAATCATACAGCTGGGTCCAAATAAGAAATAAGATTTTTAAATTTTAACATTGATTTCGGAAAGGAAACGAGTATGTTCCCTTGATAACAATGACTAATTCTTTTCAGAAGAATCGATGGAAATCGTTATCAATAAAAATATATCCTATAAGTCCTATATATCAATAATCGGCAGATTTCGACACACGATTGTCTTTGAAGATATCGACAAACCGCAATGATTTTTCCATTAAAAGCGTAAAACTGGTGGACCATGAAGATAGATAATTCAGTCGAAGATCAGGGATTTTTTTCCTATCGGTGATTCAAATGTCGCTAGATTCAACTCTAGACACAATCTGAATTTCTAAAAATTCCAAATAGCTAGTTCATTTTTAAACAAGTCCTAAGAAAAGTTTCAAAAATTCTTTCGTGTTCTTTATGCCAAAGATCAACTCATTCTCTTTTTTGTTCTGGAGAGACAAGGCTATCATAATCATCCAATATCTTTAACCAGTATTGTTGTGGTTGAGAATAGCTTTTGTGACAGGGTTCTTACAAATACATTTTTTGTGACATGATTCCTAAAAAATACGACTCTTACTGGTTTTATTTAAAAAAAGCCCCAAACTTACAAACGCTAACTTGCATTATTCAAACCCCCTGGTCAGAATTTATCATAATTTATGAGGATTTGATGTCATTCTTACACACCTCTCGACCAGTTTTAAAATCCTCGAACATATTTTAATCTCAATTGTGATACTTTTTGCATTGAAGGCCACTAATTCATCAGTTGAATTACTATCGTGTGTTACCCCCTTTAAATAAAGTTGTTACAATTACATCACCATTTTGTAACCAGGATTTTCTATTCCCAGATATTTTGAGAAAATAAATTATATTTTTGAGTCTTCTTAATCTCTCAGGGAGCTTAGGAGATCAAAAGCGAAACTTAATGACGGCATAAAATTCCACTCTCTCCTGAAATTCTTTGATTAAAAATAAAATACACAACCTTTTGGGCGATTTTTCCACTTACCCTCTCCTTCGCGGAACTCTTCATTTTCAACACATGTCCATTTACCATTAAAATAGCTAAACGTTGAAGCTTCTTTTGTACATTTACATCTTGGTAAATACTGACTAGTTTTTCCTTGATCAACAGCATCAAATTCGTCGCACTCAAACGAATCGTCATCTTTTCCATTGGGATTCAACCAAATTCTGTCCGTCATCGTGAAAGACGTTTCGTTGCTCATATTTTTTCCGTTAGTCCTATCAATCATCAGAATTCCTGTTGTCAAACATCTTCCACCCGTGGCTATTGTCACAGTACAAAAAACAGCTAAAAAGGCCGCTGGCATCGTTCTCCATAAACGGACAATCAAACTTTCAATCATCTGCAGACAGTACCCAGTTAGGAAAAAAAAAAGCACAGCGTTTTCCGAATGAACAAAACCACGGTTTTTTCTCACGAAACCTTTTCAATGACAATGTTTTTAACAATGCTACTTAAATAGAAAGTTCAAAGTACTGGCATAAAATATCAACGCGATATACTTGATAGCTTTTCTCTTCTTCACGGGGATGTCCGGCTTTTTTGCATGGGCCCTCATTTAAGAAAGTTTATACTTGCCAGGGAAAAAAAAGAGAATTAAAAATAAAAATCCGTACCTTCCAGCCAATCATTTGTCAGTTACAGATCGAATCTTAAAAGCACGCCGAAATCGGGGCAGAACGGTGGGGGAGGGGGAGGGGGAGAGTTAATATTGCAAGACTTAATGATAGAAAAAATATTTGATCAGAGTTCCATGAGTCAGCAGAAAATTGTCTTTGAAATCGTTAGGATCCGTAATTAGCGGCATATTGTCTGTTTGACTTGTTTAAGTTCCACAAGGATACCTAAAATACCTTTGCATATTTGGTTACTTACATTTGACTGAATTGAAAGAGTATAACTAAATTTAATTTGGCTAAAACTTTCAAGTAATCAATAGGAACGTGTACCAGAACATCACAAACGTTCTTCACCATTTCGAATTTTTCATCAGAAATATACAGAATACGGTAGGATTACACAATAAATCAATCCAAAGAGAATATCAGCCAAAGTAAGCTGGCACAGATAACAGAGTAAAACAACTGAAGAAGTGAACCGGCTAGCGTCATTTCCGGAGGCAAACAATATCAACTTTTCTTTAGGATCGAGAGTACAAGAAGTGCATGAAACAAAGGGCACGTAATATATAGGGCACGCGATACAAAGGGCACATGATACAAAGGAGACAAAAGGCACGTGACATGAAGGATACAAAGGCACGTGACACAAAGAGCACGTGCCACAAAGGATCCAAAACTCATGTAAGAGTACTAAATATCATTGCACTGCACGTGATGGTGCTCAACATCACAGCATCATGTAGAGTACGTACACGTTATGGTACTCTATATCACTGCACTACACGTTATGGTACTCACTAGCACTGAAAACACCAAACACAAATTTATCACGAAAATATCTACTTTGGTCATTTCATTATGAACGCTCTTCGAGTTGTTTAATTATTTTTCTTGAGCGGTTGATAAAATGACGATGTTGACTTCTGTAAGGGTTGATAACTGTTAACTTCAGCGGTTTCCGCCACAGGCGTGCAGCTGCCTCCCGAAGTGACTGCAGGGGCCTGGTACCCCGTATTGGGGCTCTCTACGGAGCAGTAAGAAGGTCCCTCTATTTTAGGTCTTTCGTTCGCTTCGCTCTTTTGATCTTGATAAGCGGTAGTGTAACTATAACAGTATTCGTCGTCGTTCTCCAAAACATTTTTACTGGTGTTGTCAGCAAGTCTCTCAGCCTTTCGATTTTCTGTCATGGTTTCGTAGGTGGCTTCAAGTTCTCGCGCTTCAGACGGCGGGAAAATCGCCGGGCGCACGCCTCGGAAAACAGGCTCGTCATAATCGAAATCAGATCGTAAACGGTCGGAAGACAATTCGGAGCGAGCTGCCAAAGCGAAGTTCCCATTCGTTTCTGGCATGTTAGGGTTCTCTAACACATGATACAATGGCGAAGTTGGCGAGCCAGGAATGGTCGTCGAGTAAAGAACCTCAGGGATATCTCAATAAGAGAAAATTAAAACTAAAAGGTAAATTACGAGAAAATTTCTAAGTTTGATGGGAAGGAGATTAAAATAATATGAAAAAATTTCCGTAGCTTAGTCACTAGGTGTACTCTCTCTTACCTCATTTGCGCGAAGTATGGGAAAGATTACAGGTTTGACCGAGCAAACACTGTCAAAGAATTGGGCTCTAATTTTCGGGAAAATGATTTTCCATTTTTCGGGCCAATTAGTCTTCTTTTGCATAATGCAATCATGTTTCTTTGACTTTATTCAACCCTTATTCAAAGATTTTTAGTCCTGCAAAGGGTTTGCCGTCACGCAAGACATCTAAATAAATCGGAAATTTCATTAAAAGGCAAAACGGATAAAAACATTTACACAGCATCAGTTATATACAATATTAAAAAGTTAACTTTTATTAAGATACTCAAATAAGGCCTTTTTAAAAAGATCTGCGGACTTAATATTAACAAAATCGTTCAGTAATGCGTTCCAGTCCTTCACAGTTCTACAAAAAAAAACTATTTCTAAATTTCAGGCTGAGGGTTTGGTAAAACCGTCCGCAGTTTCTTATAGGCCGGTTTTACATGAAAGAAGCACCATTTACCTTCAATAACACCATGATTTGAAAATCCGTTGTCTCCAGCCGCATCTATAGAAAGGTACAACGGATTTCTTGAAGACTTGCTTGGTTGATGCTCAAGCCAAATAACTTCTTCCGGAGGTGAGGAATGGTTTTCAACTTAGAACAAAAGGAACTGTTACTGAATCAGAACAGATAAATTTGAAAGGATGACCGCATTAGATTATCACTCCATCTAACTGAACTTCTGCTTCAGAAATGACAGAGATCGTCGAGAAAAGCTACCCAAAATGTCATAGCTGGAATCCCGTTTATTCGGTCCTGCAGTCCTTCCCAGTTTTATCGGCAATGCGCACAATCAAATGTGCTAAAAAGCCTTGCGATAATGTGAAGGCGCCTTCCCTTGACATTTATGGCTCCGAAAGCATTAATTGTTCGTCTTTCAACATATACAGCTCAACAGTGTTAGCATTCAAAAACTGTTTTCGTACTTCTCTGTTAGACTATTGTTTCTATGACTTTGCAATTCCTTCAGCCAAAGATGGGTCTTTTGTTTAAAAAACAAAAGAAAACAAAACTAATGTATAGCAAATGTGTAAACCCAAGCAAGCCTTACCTGGTTTATTAACTTGAGCCAGGCTTCCACTACTGGATCTTTCGAAAAAAATAGTAGTAAAAGTAAATGAGAGTACTTCTTAGTCACTAAATTATGAATGGCAAAGGAATGCAGATTTTGGCTTCATCGACATGTTCACACTAAGCACTTTTGACTGGCTTGTTGGTCAGGTGGACAGTTGATTGCTCAGTTAAATGATTGATTGATTGACTGATTCATTGATTGATCGACAGACATTAAACTCAGAAACGTCAGCTTTGGATACTCTTTACGGAGGCCAATTCATATTATCAATTCAGTTTATAACACCAAATTATATTACAATGGAATAATTTGGATATATCAACAAAGTTGAAAGACCTTGAAATGGTAAATTGGCCACCGTAACGATTACAAAAGCTGACGTTTCGAGCGTTAGCTCTTCGTCGGAAGAAGCTCGAAACGTCAGCTTTTGTAATCGTTACGGTGCCCCAAACAGTCTCTTTCGAAACTATCAGTCTTTATTCATTTATATTACAATGGACTGACTAACACAGAAGAGATGGACATATATACAAGTATTCGGACGGATGGATTGA